AAAAAAAAAAAAAAAAAAAAAAAAAAAAAAAAAAAAAAAAAAAAAAAAAAAAAAAAAAAAAAAAAAAAAAAAAAAGAAATCTAGCGATAATAAACTGATACAACAGTTCCCAACGCCTAGGATTAAAAATTTAAATGGCAAAATTGAATTGTCAAAAAGAAATGTAATCATATCAAAACCTATTATTATTGCAGTTTCAGTTTATGGAAGACAAGAAAGCAGATTCGCAAGAAGTTGCTCTTCCACAACATACCAACCCAATGCTATTATTTCAGACTAGTTTAAATAGTTATAGAAACAAAAGAAAGGTTAAGGGTCATGTAAAACCAATTTTTTATGGTCATGCATCAAATACCACAAGAAAGGAAAAATCATAAACCCTCGTAAAAAAGTATAAATGTCACAGAGTATTATTGACAGCTATGAATTATAAACACATACATGCATATATAATGCATCCAGTGAAATGTAGAACTTACTGGAAGATCCGAAATAACTTGACTAATTGCACTGCATGCTGCAGCAGTGGCACCAGTTTGTATAGCATTCATGGACACATCGATGAGGAAAAAATAAACAGCTGGCATTGGATCACGCACCTGGAGTCAAAATGCATCAGAAGCAGTATGTCAATGTGTGTCTGTGTGCACACGTGCATATAGTCAAAATAGCTTGGACTTAACAAACTAAAGAGAGGGAGAGAAAAAAAATAAATAAATAAGACCTAATCCAGCTTAACTCTACCTCAATTAGTTTGTTTTTTTCTTACATTAGAAACATGATATTTCATAGATCAATGAAATATGCGAGAGAAAACCAACGCCAAAAGCCAAGAGAGGTTAGAAGAAAGCCCTCCAATAAGTCATGATATCATTTAGTGAGCCTTAATGGCTTAGTTTTTGTTGCCAAGGGCCTCCTCATCCCATTCACTTGAGGCTGTTTCTCTCATTTATTATCAGTTTGTTTCTTATTGGCAAAAAAATAAAAATAAAAGGAAGGAAACTGGTCTCCATCCATTAAAAATCAATAATGACTAAACACCTAAGATAAGAACGAAACTAACGTCCATGCTAATGGACTAACATAAACCAACTACCATACCATGTATTCCTTAGAAGCAACAAATTCTACTGTTCCCCTGCACAGTTCGGGCCTTTCATCAGCATCTCTTCTTCTACCATCAGGACCAAGATTACAGTGGTATTCACGAGGAGTCTCATCAGTAAAACCTGAAAAAGGAATGGCACAGGGTTTTAGGTCACCACCTACAAAGGAAAGGAAGAATAGAATTCCACACATGCAAGAAATCCTTTGACATTCGACAAAAGGCAGTATTGTGTATTTTATAACAATAAGGAGGTGACTGACAGAAATGAAGCCAGATAGGTAATGAGCTTCAAAGTAACGCCCTTAACTAAAAAATTACCAAGAGTGACATCACGAATTCAGAAAATATGCAAAGACAGTAAGTAAACCTAGTTGCAGAAATGATGAATGATAGTCCTATGTCAATCAAACAACAAATTTCCAAACTTTAAGAGAAACAACATGAGAATATCCCACTAAAAAATTAGTAAACATCTTCACTGACCACATAAGTTACAGATGAATCGCCTTCCCTGATCAATGAACTTCATAAAAGGATTTATATAGCCTTTGCAGCGAGAACATCGGACAGGCCCACTTTCCCCAAAATCCACAACCTATAATATAAAATCCATCGAATAAACAAATGGCATCACTGTTTAATAAAATTCAACAACTTGACAAGATAAAAAACCAAAAAATTGCAACAATGTTCTCCTAATATGTAAAAAATTAAAGAAACAAGAGTGTATTTATAACCATTGCATAACAAATAAATTCATTTGAAGGCTGATGATATAGTAAGATACGGGTAATTGTGTAATTTCTGTTAAAGATTGTCGTTCTTCTGGATTAGATTCTTCATTGGTTTTGATAGTTGTTGGTACAGCTTAACGGTTATCATTGCATCTTTAGCTTATTAAGAATAGCAAAAAAGGGATGCATTACACACTTGGATGGGCTCCTCAGAAGGATGTAGAAGAGCAAATGGTTGGACTAGCAAAGCTAACTGCATGGCTGATGTATTCAAAAGATCAGCTGTGCATGGGATCTGAAAATTGTGAAAAGTCAGAGACCATAAGATATCAAGATACAGAGACTTCGCAAGGCAACCATCAACGAAGATATGAAGCAAAAGATAAACAGGGAAAATGATGAAATGAAAACTAGTCCTTCACCTGGCCAATGGTGCACCTCATAAAACGTGGACTGCAATTCCCAGTGTCTCTTGCAATAAACTCACTTGATGCAGGCTTCACAAAGTTTAAAGAAGGAAATGATAACATTAAAGCTTGAAAGAAATAAACACAAGCTGAAGTAAATAAAGTTGAAATTCATGTTCATGCAACAAGACTATCAGTAATATCCCTAGGACAGGATATCAAAGATTGGGGAAATAAAAAAGTAGAACATAATTAACAACATGTAGATCGAGAAAGTACCGGGGGAAGAGTCGCCTGGTTGCCTTGACGAGTGTCAAACAGGACAACTGATGAATTTGGAACGGGCCTTGGTATTTGATTAGGATCAATTTTTGATTGTGTGGCTGCAGGAGATCCGGTTTGACCAATAGCAGGTGAGATGGTAGTCATAGATTGGTTAGGTGGAGGTGGCACCATCCCAAACATTCTAGGTGGCTGCAATTGACCAGTAATAGGTGGAGGAGCTGTCCCCTAGTTTCAAAAAAAGGAAAGGATCATGTTTTTTTCCCAAACAAGGAACTTAGCTTTCATGAAAACAAATGAAAAAACAAAAGTATGGGCGAGATGAAAAGGAAGTACTTGAAACATGTGTCTGAAAAACAAAATCGAAAGAAGCTGTACATGACACAATGGGCAACTTCTGCTATTTTTTTTTTTTTTTTTTCCATGCGTCTTCTGACTTTAAACAAATTATTGACTTTCAGCAGTTCAAGATAAATCTGGAAACTCTCTCCTCACGTCTAAAATTGGGAGTTATGTAGTAGAGTAGGTACCATATGCCTATAAAGCGCATGTCCAAAAACTTGTAAACTCTTTCTCTAATTCAATCCCCAAAAAAGAATATGTATACACAGACACATATTTTTACAAGTGTATGCAAGCCTGAGCATAGGTTTGCAACTTCACCTAACTACTACATAATGCATAAACTCAACAAGTTAAAAGTGAACGGCTACCTGACCAGCTTGCATTGGCCATGTTGGTGGCCCAAATGGGGAACCTGAAGGTGGCGCTACTCCTTGAGATGCCAACTGAAATGGTGGTGCTGATTGCCCGGGAGGACCTGATTGAGCCAAGAATCCAGGGCCACCTGGAACAGAATGCATATATGGAGTCTGAACAGATGCTCCCATTGGTGGAGGACCAACGGATGGTGGAGGACCTTGTGGTGCATTGACTGCTGGAGGAAAACGTGGTCCACCAGGGAAGTTGTTCTGAGCGAATGCTGGAGGGCCATTACTCAATGTACCACTCTGAGCATTTGGTGGAGGCATGCTTGGGCTACTACCAGAAGGGGGAAATGTTGCACTTGGACGTGCACCAAGTGGAGGTGCACCAAGGGGAGGCGCAGCTGAACTACTGGACAAACCTGAGGAAATAACAGTGTTTGAAGGTGGTGGCCTATGAGACGGTTGGCCAGGACCCCCAACGCCTGGCGGAGGTGGCCTAGATACTAATGGAGATGGTTGTCCAACAGGCGGCCCACTGGGTCTCATTGGAGCCATGTTGGGAGGTAATGCAGATGGTGGAGGCCCTAATGAAGGCATATTAGGTCGGGTAATTGAAGCCGGGGGTGGACCTGGGCGTGAAAATTGAGGTGGCGCACCGGAAATCCCAGTTGGTGGGGGTGCCGACGAAGGAAAAGGTGGCGATTGACCAAATGGAGGCCTGGGGAACGAATTGGGCATTGAAGGAGGTCGATTGAGATTCATATTGTGAAAATTATCAGCTAAAGAACCTGGATTTGTCTGAGAATTGGGGTAGTAATTAGGCGGTGGTGCTGGAGCTTGATTGCTGTTGCTTTCATTGGGCCGAGGTGCCCCTGGAGGCACAAGAGCTGCCATTGATCAACCAGATTTCAGGATTTCCTACAATTCAATGGAATCCCTCGATACAAACTCGCTCTGTGGATTCAACAACCCAAGTCAACTCTGCAAGAATACACCAAATCAACAATAAGATCAAGAATTCCCAAATCCCCGAATTTCCACAGAAATCTAACACAAACAAGATTCAATTCTCATATTCATCACCCATTTCGCCTTCTTAAAAACCCAAAAGCCAAAAATGAAATCGACGTATGTTCTCTCGATCGACCATCGAGCAGATCACCAATAACATTCAATCCGAAATTCCAGATTTCCAACAAAAAATCCAACAGAATTAAACAAATTTAAGATTTACAAGAAGAAATGACACATCAGAATCAAAGATCCACAACACAAATTGGATCCCTGGGCGAGGAAAACGAACCTGGTGGGTTGTTGATGCAGCGGCTAGTCGTAAGAACACGAGACCCGGCACCGGCATACGAGGCCCCAAGTGAGAGAGAAACAGAAACGTATAATGAGCACATGCAACTATCAAATGCCCGTTTGTATATTATTTACGGAAATTTTCATTTTTAAACCTATCTTTATTAAATAATATTTTATTTTTTCTCATTCACAAATTAATTTTAATAAATAAGAAAAATAAAGTAAAAATAATTCTGTAAAAATTAATAATTTTCAACCATTTATTTTGAACTTTAATGTCAAACATTTAATAACCCATTTAATGCATAAGATAAAAAAAAACTTATTTTACTATTTTTAAATAATACCTTAATAAATAGTTAATTTTTTAATTTTTTTAAAAATTTAAAGTTATATTATAACAATTTTTTTATAATTATTTGTAATTTTAAGTGAGTACTATTAGTTAATTAATTTATAATTTATCAAAATTAATACAATTAATTATTTAATTATAATAAATAATAATAATGTAATTAAATATATATTAAATGAAAGAAATTTATTTATTTGCTAAAATTATTAATTAATTATCTAACAGGCTACAAGCCCAGTTTCTAATTAAGCCTGTTTCATAAGATGGGCCGTCTTACAAGTGGCCCAAGCCCAATTTCATATCCAGATGAAGTGAAAAGACGCCCAACACCTTCCTTCGAAAAAGAAAAAGTATAAATAGTAACAGAGCATTATTTACTATTTTCCTGCCCTAATTTTTTTGCGTGTTCGTTTGGGAGCAAGTAGAAGGCGAGGTTGAAGATGACTGCGCCAGACACTGTAGCTTCCTCTTCCCAAGTGAAGGTATAATTCTGTCCTCCTTTTCTCTTTAATGGCGGAAAGCGACCTTCTGCACTCTTTCGCGCTTCGTTTTCTGCTTCCTCTTTTTCTTGAGGCTTACTTCGGTCTTCCGTTTTTTGTGGAATTTATTGGTGCTTTGTTTGATTCTAAGGATATGAGTAGTTTGCGCAGTGGTGTGACGGTGTTTGGAATACATTGGTGCTTTGTTTGATTCTGAGGATACGAGTAGTTTACTCAGTGGTGTACCGGTGTTTGGTTTATTCGAATTCTGATATTGTTTTTTGGACTGTAGTTAATACTCCTTGGAAGGATACTTCTACTGATTTTAAGAAATCTCGCTATTTGGTATACACATTAAATATATTTTGGTTCTACTATGGATCTTACTTTTATTCACAGTGCCGTGGTAGTTAATAGGCTACTCGTTGAAAGTATTGGTTTTTTTTTTGTGTACTTCGGATTGTTCTTACCCTCCTTGGACTTGGGGTGCTCGTTTTAGTTTAGGTGTTGCTATTGTTGGAAATGATGGATTGCGTGGTCCAGAAACATTGTTCTGCTCTCATCTACTGAGACCATTCTTCGAACTTCATCTCAGTGAGTTAAACTAGCCGACAAACGAATCCAATTGACCCAAAATAAGTTGGCGTCTTTTCCTTAAAAATACCGTGCCAGCTCCCCTCCTTCTTTCTCCTTTAGACCAACGATCGGCTCTCTTTCTCAGAGTTTCACATCGAAAAAGTATCGGAGAAGGGTATGTATCGCATCACATCTCACTTGGTTCGTGTTCTACTTTGATTTCAACTCGGGACAGTAGGACTGGTTGAGTTTTGCTGGTTTATATTCATGATTTAGAGTCGTAATTTTAATAGATATTATACATTGGAGGCCCCAAAGGGAGTGGTCTGGTCTTCTAGTGGGCCTTAGGTGCAGACTTTCTTAAAAGGAAAAAAGATAGGCGTAGTAGGTTGGCAGGCAAGTATTCTGAGTGTTTTGCACCCGTTTGTTCATTTCCCTAATCTTAGCCCTCTCGCTCCCTCCGTCTCTTCTTCTGTTTTACTTTTTTAGACTAGCAGTCCAGGATTAAAACCAACTAAACCTAAGCGCTTACACCCTTATTTAAAACTAGGCAGGAAAATTCTTCCTTTTGAGAGTAAAAGAGTGCTTGTTTACCTCTCAAGCTTGGATCTCTATGAATTTGGAGGAGTGTTTAAAATGTTCTGTTGATTGTAATTGCCTCTTCGATAAGAAAATACAGGTAAAAATCGACTGTATTTTAACTTTTAAAAAAAAAAGAATTAAAATTTACTCTTTACCGATGCCCTATTGCTCACTTATTTTTATGCAAATGACGAAGGGAAATGAAAATGGAGAATAATTGCTATCAGATATTCCCCCCTCATCTTACTTATTCATTTCCCCCCCGTTTTTATTTAATGGTTTCAGGTGAAGAAGAAAAAGCAGAAGACTGCCGCAGTTTCTAACTCCGGCATTGATCTGAAGTCCATTATCCATGGGCATGCATTGTTCTTTGACAAGTTAGTGGAACTTATCCCAGCGAGGTTCTACTTACCTACTGATGAAAAAGAAAAACCTTGGTTTCAGGGCCTTAGCAAGACGGAAAAGGCAACGGCTAAGAAGGAATCAAAGGAAAACCTTAAGAAAGTACGAAGAGATCGTATGGATCCGGAAAAGTCTTCTAAATCAACCCTTGATTTGCTTAAAGAAAGCTTAGAAAATGAAAAGTTGAAAAATGAGAGTGATGGTGATGAAGAGGATGTTAAGCCAATGGCATCTGGGTTGGGTGGTGATGACCGGTCAGTGACATATGAAGAACTTAGACAACGGCTTCATCGGAAAATTGAGGAGTTCCGGGGGAATAGAAATACAGGATGTTCAAACAGGGAAAAGAAGAGAAATGAAAGAAACGAGAGAAGGGAACTTTTCCAGAAGAAGCGCAAGAGAGAAAGTGAGTCTGAGGACAAAAAATTAGTCACTACCCAATCGAGGGTCGAAATGGAGAGGAATGTAGAGGAGGCCACCAAAGAACTTGCGTTTGGTCATGTTAAACTAGGAACTGAAGAAGAGGACGGCAAGAATAAGAAGAGAAAACTCTCCAAGCTGAAGGAGCTTGAAAAGGCAAAAAAGTTGGAGGAAGCGAAGAAGGACCCTGAAACGGGCGAGATAATATTGAAGAAGCATTCTTGGAAAGCAGCAACAAGTAGAGCTGCTGGGGTTAAAGTTCATGATGATCCTCAGCGTCTGATGAAGAGCTTACGGAAAGAAAAGAAACAGCAGCTGAAGAGTATTGAGAAATGGAAAGGAAGGATTGAAACCACCCAAAAGATGAAATCAGAAAGACAACAAAAGAGATCAGGAAACATAGCTCAGAAAATCCATGATAAGAAGATGAAACGTATTGCTAAGAGGGAGAAGAAACTTATGCGCCCTGGGTTCGAAGGTCGCAAGGAAGGTTTCATCAACGAAAGCACTGGATAAAAGTGAAGAGAAGTAAGTGCAACCTTTACAATTTCTGTCCCAGTTTTGCTCTCTAGCTTTGAGGTTGGAAATGAAATTTGTTGATTTATTCACATCCTTGATAACCTTCGCCTCATATATATGTTTGGGGACGTCATTTTAACATCAAAATCTGCGGACCCAATTCATCAATCAAATCAGTTACCACCCTAGTTGACAGTTTCCCTTGATCAGCATCAGGTTAAAGATTATTAGTTCGAGAATGTATGTCTTTGGCAGTGTTAGTATTTAGTTCACAAATTACCAACCAATGCTCGTTTGAGTAGTACTTAGTACACAGTTTTTGTCTAATATGTAGTTCTCTTACTCCCAAA